ATGCACAGTTAACTTGTATTTCACGGGGGGGGGGAGGAATGTGTGTGCCTGTGTGCGCTTGTGTTTGGTGCATATATGCATGTGCATGTACACATGTGTCTGGAGTGTGTGCATGTATGTGTCCAAAATTACCCCACATGCATGTGTGCATGCACGTATGTTTGGAGTGTGTGTGTGTGTGTGTGTGTGTGTGTGAAATTTACCCAACATGGATGTGTCTGTGCAAATAGGCTTGGCATGTGTGTGTGAAATTAACCTCACCTGTGTCTGCGTGTGCATGCGCATGCATGTGTATTGGGAGAGTGTGCACATTTGTTTGGAGAATGTGCATGTGTGTGACATTTATGCCGGGTGCACGTGTGTGCACACGTTTGGAGTGTGTGCGTGTGTCTGTGAAATATACACCAGGTGTATGTACGTGTATGTTTGTCTGTGCACGTGACTTTGGAGTGTGTGTACGTTTGAGCATGCATGTGTTTGGAACGTGTGTGAAATTCACCTCAGATGCATATGTGTGTGTCTGCACACTCAGGTGTGTTCAGAGTGTGTATGGGTGCATGCGTATCTGGGGTATGTGCATGTTTGAAATTTGCCCCAGATGCGTGTGTGTGTGTGTGTGTGTGTCTTGGGGGTTTACTCCTTGGCAAGAAGCGTGGGTGTCTGTGTGCACGCATGCGTGTGCATGCACATACGGAGTGCCCCTGATATAAGTGTGTCTGTGGGGTGGGGCGATGACCCTTCGGCACTGTGTATGTGTGCGCACACACGAGACTGCCAGAGACAAAGAGTGCGTGTGTCAGGGGGTGAGCAATTACTTGGGCCGGAGGCTGGGGCAGGGAGTCTTGGTGAGCTGCTGCGGGCCCAGCGGAGACGGGCGGGGATCACGGCGGGTGGGACGGGGCTGGGATCTCGGGGTGGTGGCCACACGGGATCTACTCCTTGCTTGCCCCTGGCTGCAGAGCCCACACCCGCCGCGGGGGCGAGCGAGCGGGGAGTGGATTGCGGCTCCACGGCCCCGGCCCTGCTTCCAGATGCTGCTCCCCGTGGCTCCATCCCCTGCCTGCGTGCATCCTGCCCCCAGCAGCAGGTGGGGGGTGGGCAGGCCATGGTGCCAGGTCTGGGGGCCGCTGGGAAGCGGGGTCTGGTTGCCACGCTGTCCGAGCCCTGCTGCGTGCCCGGGGCCAGTGGGACCAACCGCACGTGGCACCGTATGGGCTGCCCCCGCGCCTGGGACAAGGGATCCACCGTGGGCCGGACAGTGCCCCTTGATGAGCTGGATCTGACCCGCGGGTTGTGTTTTACCCACCCCTCATCTCTATGTACATGTGTTTGGCGTGTGTGTGCATGTGCAGTTGACTGTAGATACGTGGGGGGGTGTGTCTGTGTGTGTGTTGGGGTGGGGGAAGAGTTTGTTACCCTTAGGTAACTTGAGTGTCAGAGAGAGGGGAGGTATGTTTGCAGTTTACCCTGCACGTGTGTGTATTTTGGAGGTTACCTGTGTGTGTACATGTGTTTGTGAAATTTATCCCAGATATATAAATATATGTGTGTGTGTTTTTGGGGGTGGGGTGGAGGGTTTAACCACAGGTAACTTGTGTGTCAGAGGGAGAGGAGTGTGTGCATCTGTGTGCTTGTGTGTCTGGAGTGTGCATGTGTTAGAAGGGGTGTACTTGGTACATGTGTTAGAAGTGCACTGATAAGGATGTTCTTGGCTGATCCTGGTAGCTGATTATTAACCAACCCTCTCGGCCAATGCTGATCCAATAGCCAATAGTCTGTAATAAATAATGCACAGCGTTTTAAACTAGTGACATAAATAGACCTTTTTTTTTCTTTGGCACGCTCCAGCAGCTTCCTGCGTCACATGCATCAGTGTCCTGGCGCTTAAACATGGCGGCAGGGGCTCTTGAACTGAAGCTCGGCGAATGAGCTTTGCTTCAAGCACTGCCACCACCATTTTTCAGCGCAGAGACACAGATACATGAGACACTGCGGCACTTTAATTAGAGCGGCTCTCAGAGCTGCTCTAATTAAAGTGCCGCCCACCCCCGGAGGACATGTAAAAGTGCCAACGGGCTGTTGCAGTCAAAAGCGGGCTTTCAACCTGGCGCAGCTAAGGACTGACACAACACCTTGTTCAATTTAATAGCAGAAAGGCTTTAATAACTGTACTGTACACGAACTATAAAACTAAATGGCAGAAAAAGACTCAATATTCAGTAAATGAGCAATTATAAAAGTCCTGGTGTACATTAACTGCAAGAGTGTTTTTTTCACCAATGCAGGCAAGGAAACAGTTTCAGCCTTTACAGCTTTCACTGAGCAGGATGAGCTGGGTGCAAAATGACGTCTCTGTCTCCCCTGGCACGCACGCTTCGCTGGCAACTCATTTATACTGTTTAATTGCATAGCTTCAAAGCCTTCCTCCTCCATAGCGGCTCGATTTAAAGTCCGAACAAAGCAGGTAGGGAGGGACCGTTACATTACACCTGCTGACTGCGAGGACCCTGGTTGGGGATGTCCAGGTGTGAAACCTGTTTTTGCAACCTTGCTCGGTCCGGAGGTTACACTGTAATCAAGTAGGATGGATGTGGATTGACTGGAGCTGGATCTTGATTGACTGAAGGGAATACCTTAGGGCACTGATGACAGGACACCGGCTTTGGATGATCCTTTTAACAGTGGGGCAGGCTCCACATTTACAATATTTCACGTGGTGACGGTCAATGGAGGCATTTGCAAAATCTCGGACAGCCTCTTCTGAGAAATTGCCCTTAATTAAGCGGGAATGTGTCATCAAGGTTGCAGTCATTTATGAATGGTTTAGCATAGCAAAGCATTGGGTGTTTTTGCAACTAGCGCAGGAGATGAAATCAATTGGGGTTGCTCCATTTCGGTGGTCTCAGGCTCTTGCATTCGTGTGCAAGATGCGCTGTTATTTTAAGTTGGTCATTTAAATTTCATGTGTGGGTCTGAGGTTTTGCAGTCATCAGGGGTAGCTGCCTGAGCCTGCCCAGCAGGGCTAAGGGGGAAGAGGTGAGCCTTCCTGGCTGCCCTGGGCTGAGTGATCTCTGAGCCAGGCTCCCCCTCTCCTCCCTCTGCCCAGGGCAGGGCCATGGGACTGTTCCAGGCCTGGAGAAACTGGGCCACTTCTTCCTGGCAGCAGGCCCCCAGGTCCCAGGAGCTGGACCCCAGTAGCGGGAAGGGTCCCTTCCCCTCCTGGTGCTGCTGCTGCCTGGGGCAGGGCAAGCCTCTGTGCCCCATGGGGGAGACTGGATGGACCCGGCCTCAGGAAGGGCAGGACCCGGCTGGGCTGAGGGTAGGGTGACATGTGCCCGCCTCTCCTCCTTGCTCTCCGTCCCCTTCTACCCCCCACCACTGCAGGAGCAGAGCTGGGGCGAGGGTGGATGCAGGCTGTCCACTGCGGGCTCTGGGCGCTCTGCCCTGCTGCCTTTGCCCCAGGAGCCCTGCGTCAGGAGGCACAACTCGCCACCCCCACTGCTGCCAGGTGGGTAGAAGGTGTGCGAGGCTCTCGAGGGAAAGGCAGCAGAGTGGAGAGCTCTGAGCCAACAGCAGGCAGCCTGCATCCACCCCACATACCAGTATGGGGGGGCGAATGCCCCTGTGTCTCCCCTGAGGGGTGCGTGCAGCAGCAAGGGAGCTGCCCCCTTCCACTCCCCACACAAGCCAGCTGTGGCTCTGTCCTGCTCCTTGCTCCGGCCCGAACGGAGGGGCAGTGCTGCTGGGTTTGGCCGTACTCACTGCCTGGTACCGGGTGGGGGGGAAAGTAGGGTCTGTGCTCCCCAGCGCGGCCAGGCTGTGCCTCTGCTTTGCTGCTGTTGCTGTCCCTGCCTTGGAGCTGCCTTTCCCTGCAATTTTCCATCTCCGGGAGATGCTGGGGCGGGGGCAGAGGCTGCAGCTCAGGGCTGAGGAGGACAGAGAGTTGGATATTGGGAGTGAGAGGCACCGGAAGCTCAGTCCGCATGGGGGCTGTTGGGTCTTGGAGAGGTGCTGTGGGATCTGAGGGCAGCTCGGGACCCCCACGTGGCCCCTCGGTGTGGGTGAAGCCAGGGGCTGGCTGGGGGGCTGTGGATTCGCAGTGGTGGGTCATGGTCTAGGTTCCCCCATTGCATGATAACACCCTGTTGTCTCCTTCCAGCAGGCAGCCAGGAGCCCAGACACTGCCAGGAGGCCCCACGTGTGCGGGGTGGGGGAGCAAGAGCGCAGGCTCAGGCTGGGGTGAGGCAGAGACGATGGCTGCTCAGCTGGAGCCGGCACCAGCCTTAGTTATCTCGTCAAACCTGGTGCAGCCTGTGGTGAAGATGGAAGAGCAGGACCAAGGAGGCCCTGAGCCTGGGGCACGAGCTGAGGGGGCAGGGAAAGCCCCTCATGTTGTCCAGGCCGGGACAGATAGAGCTTCCCTGAGATGGGCGACACCACAGTGGGTCAAGCAGGAGCCTGTCCAGCGCTGGCAGGTGGGTGTCTCTGTGCTGAGACTGTTGTCATACATACGTGGCACCAGAGTCAGGCCCTCTGGCCTGGGGTCTCTGCTCCCAGGGGATCAAGGGGCTGCAGGAGGTGTGAAGCCGCCTGCGGGAGCTGTGCCAGCGCTGGCTGGGGCCCCACCACTGCAGCAAGGAGCAGATGCTGGAGCTGGTGGTGCTGGAGCAGTTCCTGGCCGTCCTGCCCCGGGAGATGCAGAGCTGGGAGTGGGGAGGCAGCACAGAGCCTGCTCCGAGGTGGTAACCCCGGCCGAGGGGTTTCAGCTGGGGCTGATGAAGGATGAGATGCTCCAGGCGAGAATGTTTCACCCTGGGCATTGATGTTGCTTCCCCATCTCTGTGTGTCTAGGGATGTTCTGTCCCAGCTCCCAGTGACGTGGTTGTCTTGTCCCCAGGTCACAGTGCACAGACAGCTCGAGGGTGTGGCTTTGGACACGGAGGGACCTGGGGCACTGAGGGAATCCTGGCTGGAGCGGCCACAGCCCCATCGTGGGCGCATTCCCTTGGAGGAGGAAGGATGGGGTGAAATCCCAGGGCCCCAGGAGGAGCTGCCTCGCGTCCCCAAAGAGGAACCCCTGCCCCACCAGGAGCAAGGTAATGTGGCAGGGGGCTGGGGAGAGGTCCTGAGGGACCCGGATGCCTGGCTGTTCAGCCCCCAGAGCGAGGGGCTGGGATCTCTCGCTTTGAGTCTGAGAGTGAGCCCCCGTTACTGTACCATCTCAGCCTCGGAGTGACAGCAGCACCCACGGGGAAAGATCCTTTATTTTCATGGTGTTGTCCCAGAACCTGGGATTGGGGAACCAGTGGAGCATTAAGAGAGCAAATGCTGCAGAGGCAGGAGTTTCTCTGCACTCATGTAGGTTTATTCAGCAGCTGGTGCACACTCCTATACCTAGAGATATACTAATCACCTTGCCAGTGAATCTTGCTCCCCACCCTGTTGATCAGACAGTTCAGGGCCTGGCTGGGACGTTTCAGGGGCATGGTCTAGTAGGCCAGAATTATTTTGGTCCATCAGTTTAATAGCTCAGCAGTCCAGTGGTCCAGCGCCCCTTTGTTTTCAAACTGTTTTATGCTTTTTGTTACATGCAAAATCATCCTTTTCCCCATGATTGCTGAATGGCATCTAAGAAATAGGCAGGAGAGTGTCCCATTACAGGTCATTAATGTGTGTGCGGTGCGGCTGGCTGCCTCTGTTGTGTTGCAAGAGTTCAGATGCTCTGCCAGATTAGGGTAGGGTGGCTATTGCCACTGCCAGAATTGGGACCTGCAGTCTCTCTGCTTTGTGAGAGGTGAACATTACCCTTCAAACCTAACCAGAGCCAAACCTTCCTTCAATCAGCCATGGAAGCCGGGAACAGCCAGGCATCCGTGCCACTCGGGGAAGGCGCAGACTCTTCTTGCTCCTCAGCCAACACCCGGGGACCCAACTGGTACAAAGCAGAGCTGAGGGACCTCTTAGACATATGGGGACAAGAAAGAATCCAGCGCCTGCTGGAGCAGGGCCACCGCAACAAAAACACCTTCATGTACATCGCCGAGCAGATGCGGCGGCGTGGCCACAACAGGGACTTTAAGCAATGCCGCTGCAAGATCAAGGCGCTGAAGTATGAGTTTTTCCGGGCCAGAGATGCCAACAACAGGGCCGGAGCGAAAAAGCGAACATGTGCATTTTATGACGAGCTGTCACGAATCCTGTCGAAGGAGAAGGTGTACCAGGCAACCAAAACGTTTGGCACTATGGGGGAGCAGGAGGCATTGGAGGCATTAGACCACTGGGAGGATGAGAACAGCATGGGGAGTGGGAAGCCAGAAAAATTACTTGATGACAGCCTCATGGCCGGGGACCGTGGACAAGGAGCCTACATTGAGGAGATGGTGACGAATGAGAGCACCCCCTCACCACTGGTCCCGGCAGACTCTTTGCAAGCCATCCAGACTGAACTGGGGGTCCGCACAGAGGACATATTGCTCATTCCAGCCCTGATCCCGCAGCAGCATGCCTCTCTGCATGCAGATGAGGAAGAGGGCTCAGAGGACACAGAAGACAGTAGTGACATGGAGGAATACAGCCACATGACCACCATACCACGGGCGCCCACCACCACACAAACCCCAACCCGTGCCCCTGACAACCCAGGCCCCGGGAGTGGTAGGTGTCCCCAAATCTCCGTGGGGCCATGGCTATGGGATGGGGAGGGGCGGCTGGAGAAGGGGAGCAGGGGGAGTCTAACACAACGACTCTTTCTCCCCTGTCAGCAGGCAACGCATCTGCGCGCGGGAGGACATCTGAGCGTGGGTCTCATGCTGCACCACGGCCACCTGCCCGATCAGGAGCCGAGCGGATGAGAGATCATCGTAGAAGGCTGCGGCAGTCTAAAGAAGAGATGCTGCAGTCTCTCGTGGTCACCGCGAAATCCAGGGCCCGGGCAGAGGATGCCTGGCGCGAGGAAGTCAGGGAGCAGCACAGACGGGAGTTAGAAATGTGGCAAAGGCAGGAGGCTACCGTGGAAACACTGGTGGCCGCCTTTGGCAGGGCAACCGAGGTGGCCAACAGATGCTTGGAGCTGGTTGCCAAGTCTGCTGCGGCTCTGGAAGCAGTCGAGGAAAGCTTGAGGCTCAGTTCCCTCGCTCCTGATCCTCAAACAACCGCGCACACGAGCCGGCAGCCGTCGCTCCGGATTCGCAAGCTCCCTTCGCGGTTCCGGGGCAATCCCAAAGTGGGAAAGGGGGTCCAAGGGCGGGGGAAGGACAGCACCCTTCACCACCGCAAGTAGCACAGTGCTGGGGGAGGGTAACCCCAAGCTCAGCACCCACCTAGGATTTTTTGTTTTTCATTGTTTGGGACGTGGGGACTTGAACTGTAGCAGCCGCCGCTGACACCTTTTCCCTCGTTACACAAAAAACACTAATAAAGTTAGAAAAATTTTCAATTGACAAAGTATCTGTGCCACATCTTCTCCTCCTTTTCCATTAACCCTAGTCACTGGTCCAGGGAAAAAAAGAGCAAAAAGACCTCAGGAGTTTGCAGCGGCAGCTGAGCAGTGTGTGGGATCGCCGTGACCATAATTGGGATTCTGGGGTTTGGGTTCTTTGGAGGGCTGCCCACTTTTGGAGAGGGATGCGGTGGCTGCACAGTAATGTGGAGGGGGAAGGGAGCAAACCCCACTTTTGCCCTACCACACCCTACTCCATTAGACCAGACACCCCCCTCCCTCCCCCCGGGACACCCTGGCCCCAGCCTTAGCCCCAGGCCCTGCACAGAGATGCCCCCACTCCAGCCCCCAGCAGGGCAGGGCCTCTGGTCACTTGTCTCCCCATGCGTAGGGATAACGATGTGTCCCCAGTACAGACCCCCAGTTCAGTCTGGATGTCTTGCAAAGTCTGCCAGGTCTGGCGGCAAGAGGGTGCTCTCATTCATCGCCGTCTCCTCATGGTAGGCCCCTTGTCCGTGGTCCCTGGACATGAAGCTCTCCAAGTAGTTTTTCCAGCTCTAGGGAGCTCCTGGGTGTCCCTGCTTCAGCCTTTCTAGGACCGGAGGAGTTTCCCCATCCTGTGGCTGCAGGGGTTGGGGTTTCCCCCTTCCCCAGAGCATTAGTGGTGGCTGCAGTCAGTCAGACTGGGGACTGGAGACTGCAATTGAGGACTTGCCCCCGGTGGGCCTGGTTAGAGAGTCTTGCACCCTGGCTCCAATGGTCTCACCACCCCCAAACCCCTACCTAGGGTCACGAGGGGGTTCTCTTCTGGGCCGTAACTGGGGCTGGAGGTGGAGCTGGAGCCACCCATCCTGAGCCCCTGCAAACCCAGTCTTATGTCTGACCCCTGTCACTCGAGTCGCTGCAAAGCCAGCCACCCCCAGCCCTGGTACCTCTGACCCCTGCAGCCCAGTCCAGCCCAGCCCCTAACCCCAACCTCCCTTCAGCCATGGCTGAGGCTGTTTTTTGTGTTGCAGAACACAAGGTGGAGAAGCCAGCGGTCGTGGACCTGGCTTTGTACTACCTGCTCAAGAGCTGCCATCCCAGTGCCCTGGGTAGGGCAGGGCCAAGTTGGGGAGGAGTCCCACATATGTGGGAGTGTGTGAGTGCACATGTGTGCATGTGTGTCCCATTCCAGTGTGCAGAGTTGCCTGCCTTCAGGGTGTGCGTGTGCACGGTGGCATGAGGGTCTCAGTCAGTTGTCTTGGGTTCTGTACGCGTGTGTCAGATGCCTGGGGTGTGTGTGCGTGCACGTGCGCATGTCTCAGACGCTTGTGTTATGCACATGTGTGTATGCACATGCACCTGCCCTAGGCACCTGGGTTTTGTGTCTGTGAGTGAGTCCCAGAGGTCTGGGTTCTCTGTCCCTGAGGTGCCCCCACATCTGCCCATTGCTGATCCCTTCCCCTGCTCTCCTCACAGCCACTGGTCCTAGCCCTGGCCCGAACCCTGGCACCAGCCCTGCGAGTGCCCTGCAGCGCCGCTATGTGTGGCACTTCCTGATTTGCCCTCTCTGTACCTTCACCTTCACCCATGACACCCAGCCCAGCCCCTGACTCCATGATGCCCTCCAGCTGCCCCCAGCCACCTGGCTGCCCCAGTGCCCAAGTCCCACAATGGCCTCTCTGCCCCAGCCTTGCCAGGCCACCCTGCTGCAACCTCATCCAGGACCCCTCTCCACCTCCTCCCCATCACTATCCACTTTCCCATGGCCCCGGCCCCAGGAACCATGCTGGTGCCTCTCACTCCTGACCTGCAGCCCTTCTGCTTCTCCCATCAGGCCTGAGCTGGAGACAGAGCGGGAGAAAGGAAGGACCTAGCCCGCTGCCCTGCCAACATGCCTGGCTGCAGCTCCCCCAGGGAGAGGTGGCTGCAGGGCAGGGAAATCGATCAGCAGCAAAGCAGGATGTAACAGGTCCCCCCTACCCCGTTACTGAGCGGGGAGGGCAGAGCCCTGGAGGCTGGTCAGACAAGCCCAGGCACAGATCCAAAGGGCAGGAAAGGACTGGAACAAGCATTTGCCACTGCGGCAAGGAGCCCTGTGGCTGCCTGAAAGTGGCCAGGACTGGGATCACCTGTGACAGCCCAGGGAGCCAGGTGACCAGCAGAGAGAGGGGCAAGAGAGCCCTATAAACACAGGCCCTGCAGGCTGCAGCGGGGACTAGCTCCTTGCTCAGGAGCGACCAAGGATGTCTGCCGAGCTGCTGGACTGCCTGGGAGCTACTGGCCAGACTGTGAGAGCCCTAAGAAGGGCTTAACCTGAGAGGTGGCTGCCCTGGGTGTTTGCTTGGAGGGGGGAAGCAGTATGGGGGCCAGGGTGCTGGGCGCCAGGCACAGTGTGGGGGCCAGGGAGCCTGGAGCTGGGGGCAGCGTGGGGGCCAGGGAGCCTGGAGCAGGGCAGATCAGGCCCAGACAAGGCTGGGAACCAGAAGCCAGGTCTGGTGCAGTGGGCTTAGGCTGTACGACCCAGTCAAGAGAAAAGAGACCGAGGCTAAAAGGGCCGAGTTGTGGCAAAAATATCTGAGTGCCCAGATGTTAGCTAGCTTACAGACCAGGGGCTGGGATCTAGTTTGGGAACCATTGAGGCAGCCTCCCTCTGATACAGAGCTCAACATCAAGTCATGGCAGGCAAAAGGAGGGAGCTACGTTCAGAAAAGGAAACTGAGCTGGGGCTAGGCAGTCATTAGGGGCTATGCAGTCACCTCTCGTCAGGGGCAGACCCTGATCGGG